CCTCATCCCTCTCATAATATGTCGAAATTATACGCTAGACTTGAGACTCCAGCGAGGTCGAATCTGTAGCCCACCCAGGATGAGCATATTTTTTGCAAGGCAAGTATAATTAAAATTCGATGACATCCTGAGGCCTACTCGTATTGCAGGACAATCCAAATATGAGACTTTCATCACCTTTTGAGACTTAGGATGACTACTTCTCTTATTAAGCATCTACTGGTAACGTCAATATTTATTTACTATGAATATCAAGATACTTTTCACTAAACACTTTTCTTGAACAAATCTTATTTTTTATCTATAATTATTTTATCTCTCCTTTTATTTGAACTTATATGTCTGGTTATAAACTCATATTTTTGGTTAAAATATGTTAGATATTACTCAGTATAGGTCCCTCTCCGTACATTCTCTTTTTTTCTCACGAATCGGAGGTAGATTTTACTCAATGTACAAATTTCCTATCTCGATTAACTACTCATTACTCCCTATCCACTATGCTTGTGGAACTATTTAACCTATTTACTCATCTAGTGTTAATTTCTCTTATACCTAACTCATCCTCTTTCGGCTCACTTCGAAAAATGCACACAAGCATCCATGTTTTGATGATTTCTTATTTAATGAGCATAACTTTTTTATTGTGAATATGAAGATCAAGATAATGGGGCCCTATGTTTGATCGCAGTCTTCTTTAGCTTTATAGTGCTGGTTCGACCACGTTTTCGCAACTTGGTCGGAGCGTCAGAGAGATCTTTTGGAACTTGCCTAGTCCACTAACTTTTTCCATAGTTATCGTGACTTCCAGCATCTGACTATCGAACCAGCTTCCAGCATCAAATATTTGGGACTCTACCGAGTCAATGGTCCGATGATGAAAATCACGAATACGATTTCAGAGGACACAGGACTAAGCATATTCCACCAGGTCTCCCTGAAGCTCCGCCCAAATTTCGAAACGAGGTTCAACCAACACTGACTTTTTTCGCTGCAAAAACACAGACGATAGAATCTTATATTTACTTAGAATCTTGCTTCAATCGCATTGATGAAAACAACATTGACAGCATTAGCTGGTCAAATTTTGGGAAAAAATTAATGGAAAAAATTTTGAACGGAGCCAATTTTTCTTACTCTTGTATTTAAATACTAAGCCAACTACTTAAAAATCCTTTAATGAATACTTTTAGGGCGAATTAACTCCTTATTTAACTACAGGATTATGCTGTGTAGCTTTTTGCTTGCCGGTTGACTCACTTTGTTTTTTTATGCTCTAAATGATTGTGTATTAATCTGATTTTCGCAAAAGATTTTTTCCGCTCATTAGACTTGATATACTTTATTTTATATTGGATCTGTACTCTTGATTGCTTCACTAGATGAATTATCTCAGCTTATGGTTATTCATTAACCCCAGCAAAGTTATAGCTTTTTAAAGAATAGTTGAAATATAGAGTCTGGTCTTGCTAACTTAGGTCCTCTATTCATTTTGAATAATTACCTTATGGATATAACGATCGGGGTGCTCTTCACTATTTATTGACGTTTATTGTTATGCCTTATTCAACTTCAATTCTTGCAGAGTTAATTTCAATACTATCAGTGAAGCCTAAAGCTATCATTAGAGGAGAATTCAACTTTTAAATTTTCATAATCTTATGCAATCTAGTTTGATTGAACTTTGTTTGGCAGTTTGTTTTTACAGTTAATGTATAACGAATGGCCTTAAATTATACTACTTTACGAAGTTTCCTAACATCTTAACATTTGGTATTATTTTAATATCCCTTGTAAGATTCCATTTTTCATCTACTGTTTTTTTCAATTCTTGGGCTTCTTGTGTACTTACTTTTTAAATAGGTGACTTATCAAATAGAGCCCCTGTATGATGGTCAGGTCAGCTCATCATTTGCCACAACTCGTTCGCCACTCGAATTTTTCTCCCTGAATCCAGACAATGGCATCCTGTGCTTACGTCGACAACTTGACTTTGAAGAACAGACCAGCCATATCTTTTGGGTTATTGCATCTGATAAAGGCCTCCCTTCGCTCTCTTCGACTGCTTTGGTCAAAGTAATCATACATGATTGCCTTCTTGATTAATTCTTAAATTATTATTCAGCTTACTAGTCTCTAGTGCCAACTTACTGCCAAATTCTTTTAAAAGTTCAATTTTTATTTTTAAAAAATTAATTAATCGTTTTAGGGAAGAAAATTTTAATTTTATTATCTATAAATGATATTTGTTATAATTTAACCCTAAAATCCTGCGTGATGTTCATTGATTTATTGTGCTCATATTATTGCTCACGTTCCATCTACTCTTAGCAACTATCAATTCGTCACTTGATTATTGTGAGATATTAGGAATTCTAGCTGCCTTATTCTCTTGATGACGAATGTTATACACTCTTTTTTTTCTTGTTCTAATCCATATTCACCGTTTTAGCATACAATTCCACCATCAGCGCAATTAGCTGCTAATTTTTTAATTAGTATAATATTTAGTTTCGTCCAAAAATCAAAGCCGCCATTAATTTAGCTTATGATGGCAAGTATATCATAAATAAATTCCATAGCTTCTTATCCGCGTCGTCATTCACTTTAAATCTTTAAATCATTACTAATTGATTTCGGGCCTAATTCTTGGTAAAACTACAAAGTAAAAACAGGAATATAGTAAAATGTCTAAAAAATAACATGATAAACAGTTTTGTAAGTGTTGCGTGCTCTTGCAGTTCTACTGATTCTTGGCCTCTATTCAAACATTTTTGCTACTTTTCCCTCTTTGTCCGTGTACTTTTTTATTACATTATTACTCTTTTTCTAGTTCTTTTCTTTTTTCAATTCTCATTTAATTTGATTTTTAAATCATTTTTTCATCCTTGACAACATATAAATATTTAGTAATACCATCCTTCTCAAATTTCCTAATCTTGCGAAGTTTACTGACCCTTATTTATATCTTTTTCTTGTCTATTTTATAGGCATTTTATGAACATTATCCCAATATTCTGTCCTTTTTTTCTTAATAAATGAATTGCACTCGAGCACCGATACCCACGCATTTGAGGATTGGATCATTCCTGATTTCACACTAATTCTATTATATATAATCGACACACTCATCTAACAAATTTTTATCACTATTTAGTTTTTGACGAAAAATAGTGCGGAGCCCCAACAATTATTCTTTATTTCTTGAGTGTAGGTGACACCATCTATCTGAAGTAGTCGGAGGTTAGGCCCTCTAGTAATTGATTTTTTCGTATAAGCGATCGATACAAAACAACTAGTGTATTGTATTGAGCAATTAGAGTATTTAGAAAACCATTATTGTTGATGAGATCAGTCGGGAACGGCTTGCTATGTCAACTGCTATACCTGGTGGTATACCACAAGTAAGTTGCTAATTTTGTAAGTTCGTGCGATTAGTTTCTATGAACCACCAAATAATTATTACATTTTTAAACTAGGCCAAAATAAAATCATATCTTCCTGTTTGAATTGAAATGTACATGAATCTGCTTCTGATGGTACTGATTATTTGGCGCGTTAGCATGTGCGCTTCATGCGAGCCTAAACAAGACTTTAGGAGAATTTCAATTTTCTATACTTTGAACTTCTTATTATAGGAGATAACTCTTTTGACTTCAACCTGCGGATTTTGCATCTTTTATAAACAATGCTTAGTACCTTCTGTTTATTCATTTAGTAAATTTTCCTAGATTTATCAACCAATTTAAACTGAATTCACAGATGCTTTATTTGTATTCTACACTTCGCCCATTTTCTGCATAAGCCTTTAGACCGTTTGAATTTATATAATTAAGTAAAAATTTCACCTCCACGCTGATTAAGTTGTATGCATACATACTGGATATCTTTTTTTCCAAGTGCACACCACTTATTCAAATGATTTTTGTGTTTTTATCTTCTCAATATTTCGTATTCTGATTCTTTTTTTAAAATTTTAATCCATCTTCCGAACCCTTTAGATTATCGTGCTTGATTACAATGATAATCCACCTATTTTTGATGGCCAAAAACTTGATTTGGACATGGTCACTTCTCATTCGAATCCTTTCGGTATTCCTTCCTGCCAGCCCACTGTTCATTTTAACGCTCGTGCTTCCGCAGGCTCCTTTGTCACCCGGGTCTCAGCAAACGACCAGGATTCTTCCGACACACTTACTTATCGTATATTGTCACCTTCATTGCCTCTGACCAAAAATGCTGGCCGTCGCACCGTCTTACACGATCTCTTCGACACCGACGACTCAAGTCCAGTTATTTTAGC